AAAAAAAAAAAAAACCAGGCTTGGTGGCTCACACCTGTAATCCCAGCACTTTGGGAGACTTGTTGTGGGAGAATTGTTTGAATACAGGAGTTCAAGACCAGCCTAGGCAACATAGTGAAACCCCATCTCTACAAATGAGACCAAATCAGCCAGGCATGGTGGTGCATGCCTGTAGTCCCAGAGACCTGGGAGGCTGAGGTGGGAGGATAGCTCAAGTCAGGGAAGTTGAGGCTGCAGTGAGCCATGATTATGAACACTGCACTCCAGCCTAGGTAACAGAGTGAGACCGTGTCTCAAAATAATAATAATAATAATAATAATAATAATAATAATTCCTGAACAAAATATAAGTAAATCAAATCCAGTAGTATATGAAAAGGATTATACACGATGACCAAGTGGGATGTATCCCAGGAATGTAATATTGGTTTAACATCTGAAAATGAATTAATGAAATACACCACCTCAATAGAGTAAAGAACAAAAACCCTATGATTACCTCAGTAGACACATAAAAACATTTGACAAAATTCAACACCCCTCCATGACAGAAAACACTCAACAAACTAGGAACAGAAGGGAATTTCCTCCACCTGGTAAAGGACATCTATGAAAAACTCACAGCTAACATCACACTTAATGGTGAAAGACTGAATATCAGGAAAGAAAACAAAGGATGTCCACCTAGCATCCTATTCAGCATTGTGCTGAAGATTCTCCCGGGACAGTTACACAAGAAAAAGAAATAAAAGGAATCCAGATTGGAAAGAAAGATCATGTCTGCAGATGATACGATCTTGTCTAAGACCATCCTATTGTCATCTTAAACTATTAGAACTCATAGTTATAAGTATTAGAAGAAATAAATGAGTTTCAGCAAGGATTTAGAATATAATATCAATGTAAGAAAAGCTATTATTTTTCTTTTTTTGAGATAAGGTCCCGCTCTGTTGCCCTGGCTGGAGTGCAGTGGTAAGATCTCAGCTCACTGCAGCCTCAACCACCCAGGCTCAAGCGATCCTCCCACTTCAGCCTACAGAGTAGCTGAGACCACAAACAGCTTGCTACCACGCCCGACTGATTTTTAAAATTGTTAGTAGAGATGAGGTCTTGCTATGTTGCCCAGGCTGGTCTCAAACTCCCGAGCTCAGTCTCCCAAAGTGCTGGGATTACAGGCATGAGCCACTGTACCTAGCCTCAATTATTTTTCTATGCACTAGCAATGAGCAAACAGGAAATGAAATTAAGAAAACAATTCTATTTTGAAGACATCAAAAATAAAATCCTTTGAAGAAATTTAACAGAAAATGTAGAAAACTCATTGTATTCGTCCGTTTTCATGATGCTAATACAGACACAATCCCTATCAAAATTCTAATGGACTTCTTTGTAGAAATTGGCAAGCTGATCCTGAAATGTATATAGAAATTCAAAAGACCTAGACTAGCAAAAGCAATTTTGACAAAGAATAGCAAAGTTGGAGAACTTGTACTTTCCAATTTCAATATTTACTGCAAATTCCAATTTCAATATTACAGTTATCAGGACTGTGTATTAATGGAATAAAGATAGACATATAGATACATATAATAGAAATAAGAATTCAGGCCAGACAAGGTAGCTCACACCTGTAATCCCGGCACTTTGAGAAGCCAAGGCAGGTAGATCACTTGAGGTCAGGAGTTCAAAACCAGCCTGGTCAACATAGCAAAACCCCATCTCTACTAAAAAAAAAAAAAAAAAATACAAAAATTAGCCAGGCTTGGTGGTGCAAGCCTTTAATCCCAGCTACTTGGGAGGCTGAGGCAGGAGAATCGCTTGAAGCTGGGAGGTGGAGGTTGCAGTGGGCCGAGATCATGCCACTGCACTCCAGCCGGGGGGACAGAGTGAGACTCCGTCTCA